ATATTGCGAGAGTAGATCTCGAAATGTAGCTTTCGCGTAATTCGCATATATTCATATATTCGAGTAAGAATCAAAGAGACACATTATATAAATTTAAATTAACAATAATAATTAAGGATTCGTAGCAATCATTAAGAACGATAATTAGGTATATTATTTAAATCTTTATTAGAATCACAAATATATATTTCGTATGATGTTTTATTGCGTTCAACTTTTCGATTATCTAAATATTCTAATTGTAAATAAAACTTGGAATAAGAATATACAGTAGAAAATTGCATTTTGAGATGTATATGTTATTGTGATATATATATGTAATTACGCATTAATTGTAAAGATCTTTTTTTTACATGCAATTGCGATTGAAATCAACCAATAACTATCGGAGGAAATATATATATGTTTATGACTCTAATTAAAAAGATTAAAGAAAGAATTGTTATCTTTAAAGATCGCTACAAAATTTGAATTTTTAATTTGTGTTCACATATCATTTCAATTATTATTTGATTAAATGAATATATGTTATGTGGAAAGAGAATTATCCCAGACAGCACCAAGCCCAAAATTGGCGCATAAGATATCATTAAGAAATCTTTAAGACAGCTTTAAGAAATCTTATGATATGATATCCGAAAGACATCTTAAACATATTTTAAAGATATCTTATCGATTTTGGATTTGGTGCTGTCTGGGATACCATAAAAATATATATATCTATTAAATATGATGAAATATAAACATTTATACATTTTATATATATATATATATATTATATGTATATATGTATATATATGTATATATATGTATATACATATGTACATATGTATGTATATATATATAATTTCATATTTATTTTCTAAGTACATATAATATATAATACATAAATATTTGATTTAACTGCAAGCACAATGCTTGATGTGTAATTACGAAAAGAAATAATAAAATAATAGAAAAAAATTACAATTTCAATCTCTTAATATCTTCTGGTCGAACATCTATTCTTAAAGAAGCGATGCGTCGAACTTCTGATGGTGTTAATCGCCATGCTATTGCATCCGCGCCACAATAATCAGCGAGTTCCTCCACTTTCTCTATACTCAGAATAGTAGCAATCTGTGTTAAACGTGCAAATTTGTCTCTCACTGACCATGATGTGGCAGCTGCCAAATAGCTGGCTAATGATCTTATTTCTTTGTCTAATATCAGACCTCCTGCCTAAAATGTGAAAATTTGTTTCATAACATTAATTATGTTATGTGAGAAACTACATTTATAAGGCGTTAAATAAAAAATATCCATAAAAAATGATTAAAAGAAAGATTATAAAAAAATAACTTAAAATTAATGTACATACTCGATTAAAAGTTGTTTTCAAGACCACCTTCTCTAAACGAGCTGTAACTTCTGCAGTTAGAAGTCCAATAAGTGCATCATAATTGGAGGTGGTTAAACTACCTTTGAATCCCTGAAGTAAACCCTCTAGATTCATGACTAATGTTTGTACAAATGGCTCATCTGTTTCGTATCTCAATAATTCATCCTGCATATATTAATCATTGTATGTAAAGAATATAAAGAGAAATTTTGTATCTTCTTTCATTTACAGAATACATACTTCATTAATGTGATGATCTATAGATAGAAATGCATCAACCCAGGGAGTGACTCTAGGTTTCACAGCGCTGACACGTAACTGTTCCAGACCACAATCAATGATACCTCGTAAAATCAATGTAATTGCCTTTAGACTGGTTAAACAACTATCAATTTTGCCCTTATCCTTTTTTTGCATATTAGGGAATGTTGCATCTATTTCTGCACCAAGACTTTTGCATAATGTCTCCACATACTCTATACTTACGTCAGTGTTATTTAAATATCCCTAAACCATAAATAAAATATAAATGATAATTACAGATATATAATAAAATTGTGTAAAGATACATTTTAATATATGTGTATTATATTATTGTTACTAATTATACTACAATAAAATAGATTTTACTTTACCAAAAATATAAGACGAGCGTATTCCGTATCTGATTGCAAACGTCCGTGTTGTATGCTTGTCTGGAGAGCACTGTATGCTTGCGCCAGATCCAAGTAACCTGCTGGATAACCTTGGCGCAGTCTGTTTCTCAATTTGTTTGCAAATTCGCCTTCCAAGATGCCGCAAGCCATATTGACAACGGCACAAACACCATCTATACTCCAGCTCGACATAGCACGTCTATAGAAATTGCATTATTTTTTCAATTAATTTCATAAAGCATTATATTGTACATATATATCTGGTCATATATACCGTATGCATTTCCGCACTATGAAGAAGACATCATCAACCATACTGGAAGTTTGCTGATCTGGATCTAATGCATCCATTCCTAAGGCCTTATTCACGCTCTCCTCGAGAAAATATCTCTCTAAAGCAAGATAAGCGCCGAGCAACTCTTGCATTCCATGGGCCAACTCAGAGTTGTTCATAGCTGTTTCAAAATCATTCAATAATTCTGTACGTTGGGTTTCATCTGTTGTACTAATCTCTATATCATTCTGTAAATATATGTATTAATAAGTTTGTTAATTATATAATATATTGCAAGATAGATATAATGAATAACTTTCCATGTACCTTAACTCTTCTTTTTAAGAAACGTATATAAAGTTCTGCTCTTGAATGCATTATAGTAACTTCTCCCAAACGAAGATCGAGCTCTTTGGGATCTAATCTTTCAGAACTCGGTTTTCGTAAATATTCATTTACCATTTGTACATTCTTAGAGATACTCCTATGTTTTGTAAATACTGTAACAATCTTCTTAACCTGTCTAAATATAAATTAATAATCACTTAAAATGTATATATTTTTGATATATAATTTACTAAATGAGTTTACCTATCACATTCTTTTTGTAAAATCAAGATTGTCATTGAAAGTCTGCCTGGGCCATAATAAGTTTCAATAATTGGTTGATGTACTTCTATAATACGTGCAATTCCTTCAAATAAGAGAGTCATAGTATCAGCAAAAATAATATCTGCTCTCTTATCATTATTTTTAATTTCTAGTGCCGCCTGTAGATTCTTCTGTGAAGTCTCTTGAAGCTAAAAATATAGACTTTGAGTACTATCCTCTTTTAATAAAAACTATTATTATATTTGGCAAATATATATAATCTTATGTATAAAAAATATATTTAATGTTTCATACTTTGGTACACAAGTAACTGCAAATTTTTTTAGTCCTTCTAAATGCATCCCTAGTAATGGAAATATCTTGAAAAATCTCTCGACAGATGCCAAGTCCTCAGATTTCACAGCTTCATCAAATTTATGTGTAACAACAGCCCTCAATTCCATTGCAGCTTGTTGCAAAGTAATCAGAGAACTACTAATACTCATGTGATCTCCTGATATATCCTCAGCTGTTCTCTCTAGCAGTTGTTGATCCATTGCTAAATATCGATGAACATGAGCAGCACCCTGTTCATAATCCTCATTACGTAGTGCAGTTGCTACTCCTTCACTGCATAATTGCAAATCTAGTATATCATTTACTCTACTTTGGCATTCACATACTCTGCTCTATTAAACAAAAAATTATACTTATAAATTCATAAAAAATTAAAGAAATTATAATTTTTCATTTGAATATGATATCTGATGATTATAACTTACTCTTGCTAAATCTAATTGCCTCACTTTGGCACTAACATTTTCTGCCAACTCATTGGTACGAGTGATCATATCACGAAACTTTTCTCCCTCTGTACGTATTACTAAGACATTTGGCAATACTTTACCAATATTTTGTAGCTTTGCTTCTACATGACATTGTCGAGCAAGAATTGTATCCAAATTTTCCTTAATAGAAACCTATCAATACATTTATTTTTTATTAAATATATGATAAATTAGCATTATACATCTAAAAAAAATTGTGTATATATGGATAATTATTTGTATTCAATAGCAAAAAATGTAAGATAAATGTAGCTTCTAATTACAATATATCATAAATGCATGATAGAATTAAAGAATATAATTTATATACAAAACTAAAAATTGACATATGACAAAATCAGACCTCATCTTCAGACAATTTATCCAGTATTTGTCGTAAATTTTCCTCATTTACTGGTAAATCCATATTTTAAATAATATATTTTTGCATCAATTAATAAATCAATAATTTAACTTTATCATACATCAGAAACATATTTTTTGATATTTCTCTTATGTCACATTTATCGTGTTGTGATTTCCATTTGGTCGGTGTGTTCATTTAACTTTCAGTCCATTCGTAAAACCGAACTCATCTGGACAAATAATATTAATCCACCAATGGGAGACGTCGAACTCGCGCGTCAAGATATCACTAGTCAGAGTCCCTAGAAAGAACTAGACGCGCCTCGGCCAATGAACGCGCGACGAAAAAAAAGTAAGGCGCATTGGTGGGGGAGAAGGGTGGTTTGGGTCCTCCCCGCGCATCTTATGCGCGTATTCCCGTACTGAAAATGGCCGCCAGCTGTCATTCGCCTACGAAGTGTGGCTTGTTGTGAAGGAACACGACGCGAATTCGGCGCAGGACGGTTCCCCGGGCGCGCAGGACGCCGCGAGAGCGCGATGCAATTACATAACGACGCGCGGCTGAAGCTGAAATTGAACGCGATCGTTGATTAAGGGGGAGAGAGAGAGAGAGAGGGAGAGAGAACGAGAAAAAAAGGCGAAAAAGAGGGAGAAGAGGAGAGCGGGGAAACGAGAATAGAAGTACACGACGCGTTAGCAACGGGGGCCTCCACGGTGTTGCTTCGACGGTGTCATGAGAGTGTGGCCAGCTCGGCTGTTTACAGTTTTTAGTTTACACCAAGTGCGACGCGACTAGTCCGCATCGATACGCGGGATCGGCCTGATCCTCCTCCTCCTCCGTGGTTCTTCCTCTTCGATTTGCGCGAGTCGGTCTCGCGGCCGCGTTCTAATACTGTCCGCTCGTGCCATCGCGACGCAAGATTCCCCCGGGATTACTTCACATTCTACACCCCGTGGACAGTCAAGGTAGGATTTCGTTTCTTGACGCGAGACTCTCCGGATCGCCTTTGGAATATTATTACTACGTTTGTGTTGAAACGTTCATTTAAATTAAGGGATATATGGCTTGTGCTGTTTTGGAGTAGTTGCATATATATACATACATATACATATATATATATATATATATATATATATATATATATATATAATATATATATATACACGATGTATGTGCAGACATTACATGATTTTTTTTATATATAAAATAAATGAAATCTTTCCGTTAAATTAAAGCAAAATATATTGTATTATGATTATAATTAAAATCAGTTTCACTGTAATACAATTTTGCATAATACAATTTAAATAGTTTAACAAGAAATTAATTTTTTATTTTCAGAAAAACAGTATGGGTTCCAGTCAACAATTCTCTCTTAGGTGGAATAATTATTTAAAACACATTACTTGTGCTTTTGATACATTAAGGACAGATGAGGATCTCGTAGATGTCACCCTGAGCTGCGAAGGCAAAAGGATTAGGGCACATAAAATGCTTTTGTCAGCATGTAGTACATACTTTAGAGATTTATTTAAGGTAAAAGCAATGGCTGTGTTGATTTATTACTTGTGCATTTAAATGCAAATATATTTTTAACAATATTTGTTATATTATAGGAAAATCCGTGCCAGCATCCCGTCATAATATTTCGTAATGTAAAATTTGATGATCTGGCTGCCTTGGTAGATTTTATGTATCAAGGCGAAGTAAATGTTGTTCAGGAACAGTTAGCAAGCTTTCTCACAACAGCAGAACTCTTGGCGGTACAAGGCCTTACAGATGGCACAGGAAAGGATAACGATAGTTTAGTAGAGGTAAAATATAAAATGATATAAACTCTGTTTAAAGTAAAATGCAGATATTTAACAAATATTACTTATATGTTATATTATTTTTTCAGGATGACATAGAAATTCCTAACGAACCTGAAGTTCAACTGCAGAATACTTCTGGCAAATCCACAGGAGATAGTAAGAGAAACAAATCACCATCCTCTCCGATGCCATATCATGCCATCGAATTGCAGCCCGAAGTGCCGCCAAACAAAAGAAGAAAAACTCGAGACAGCACGAACACAAATACGGAAAAGAATTCAGCAGGGAATAATGCGAAGGATCCTGATGGGAAAACGTTGGAAAATCAGTCTGGCCCGGCCTCGGATCCGGTCGAAATAATTCCCCTCATGCCGAATTTAAAATTGGAGATGCCCGAATATCTGGAACAAGATGGTAGCAGTTGTAGTTATGAGGATCAGAGTATAGGCGACAACACACTCAATAAAATTACAATAGACGACACATCGTCGAACACGCCTGATCACGAACAGAAGCCAGACATCAGTCAAACGTTTTACTCAAGTCAATCGACATCAGACGGTTTGGATGGCAAACATCAAGATGTTGGTAGGTATCTTTATACATGATATTTTTTTTAGAAATTTTAATTTTTTCAATTGCATAGATCTTGATAAGTATTAAATATGAATGTTTTCTTGTTTGTTAGGACACCTGCTTTCTAAACCAAGTACCTCAGGAGAAAGAGTGACGCAGCAGGAAGCATTACAGGGTGAGTGATTGTTTATCTTTTCTTATAATATAAATTATATGATGGGTCTGTTGTTTTGCCATTATGATAAAATACATACACACACATGAATATATAATTACAATAAATTCGATTAATTAATATTTATTGTAGATTATTTTTATTCAATTTTTGAAAATTGACAATTATAATTTAATCCATAATTCAAAATGTAAGTTATTATATTAAAAAAAGATATACAAATTGTAGTTGTTAATGTTATAAAAGAAAAAAACAATTTATTTATATCTAAATTTAATATTTTATTGCATATAATTACTGAATTATATAAAGTGAGCAATATACATGTACATAGTAGACAATAATGGCAGTGCAACATACAAAGTTTTGTATCCACACATGGTCCACATATATAAAAAATTGCAATTTTCCTGTACTATTTGAAGAAACATCTATATACATCTAAATTAAAAATTGGATGTTAAATTATAAAATTTTACACATTAATCGCAGTTACATAACTACTTTTTTATACACAAAACTATATTCTAACTTTTATGGTGATGGATTAATTGCATGTATTGTGGGTACAAAACCAACATCGTATTATAAACACCTTGATACATGAAGCGTTAAAATTATACACAGGTGTTATTTAGTTTCATGGATTAAGGTTTTGTAATAATTTTTCAATAATGATAAGAAGAAAGACGGGATTTCTTCTTATTGTGATTTATCAATTTGAGGGGTAGTTAGTTGATTGAGTTTTACATCAAACTATGCGATGGTTTGGTAGTCTGTGCTTTGCATCACTTATATGCACACAATGAAAATTTGAAAAACGGATTAGATTAAATCCGAAGGAAATTATAATATTTCAATGGAAATTTATGGATATTTATGTCTAATAACAATGAAATATCTGAGGATTTATTCATATATATGTATATATGTATATATATTCATAACTTCTCTTTCATTTTTAAATTTGATTTTTGCTGGCATAAAAATATATTTAAAAATAGCAAAAAACTTTAATGATGCTTTTTACAAAATTTTATGAAAGTAACATCATATTTTATCGCATAATATGTAATATACTTATTATAAATTTATTCAATTTTACGATGCTCTGTAAAACATTGTTGCTCTTTAATTTTTATATAATTACTTGTACTGAATTTAATGAAATCGAATTCGCAGTACAAGCAAATTTCGAAATATTAATGATTCGATAAATATTTACCGATATGTTTCTTGTTGTGGAAAGATTACTTTTCTTTCCAAGATAATATCGAGATTTACATCTTTAGTGTACAGAGTGCATGGTGTTTTGGATGTAAATGTATGGTACAGGCACTCGGGTGTAGGTTGAACTGTAGATATTAGCATTGCCAAGTGCTGTATGTGTGCCGACAATCATCAACATTCCTTATTTTTTAATAACTTGATTAAAGCCACCACTATATTCCTCATGCGCACTAACTGTAAGCATATTTCTGTGTATACTAAAAAAAAAAAAAAAATACCTTTCGATGCTGGTTCAAGGAAATTTCTTCAAAAAACTTGTGTGTATAGCTCGAATCTTTTTACACACACACATATACATATACACACAATTTAATGCATATAACGTTAATCGTAAATATGAATATCGATTTTCGAATATTATAACAAAATGCTGTGAGCCACATTTATGGAATTAGAATGTGCTGCAAGAAATCAATATATGGGAAATCTCCATTAGTCTGCAAATAATTTAAGTAAATATTTACTTAAAAAATATTTATTTACAATAACTTTTTAAAATAAAAAAATAACTATGCTCTTCCTCCAAAAATATATAATTTTTCCGGCAAGTTAACAGTTCTTTAAATTACAATTTTATTGTTTGACTGAAATAATTTTGTCAAGGTTTATTCATAAAATTTATTTACATTTAATTCATAGCAATTTATATGCTTTTATCGAACATAAAACAATATTTTTCGATATTTTAAAATAATTTTAAAATACAATTGTAATATAAGTTGGTCAGAAATATTTGTTATTGAAATTTCAAACTTAAGAATTGTGAATTTTGTTGGTATATTTTTCGATTTAGGATTTTTCTGCGATCTCAGCATCTTTAAAAATATAAGGATTAAGTAATATTGCGTGATATTTATAAAATGTAATAATAATTTTATCACGGGATATTCGCGCAATCTCATAAAAAACGAACTACTAATTTTGAAATAGTTAGATGGTGGTGGTACTCTGGTGACAGTGGCATGCGTGCAATCTTTTCTTAAATATTTGATAACTTGAAACCAATTTTTTTCTCCTTGTATGATGCAACTCAAACTCTATTTGGTAAACATGGGTGCGTGTGGGAAATATCGCGATCAGATTTAATCGATACACCTCCGAAATCCGTTATTTTCTGACATTATTGTTTACTCTAGCATTTTACTAAAAAAAAAAACTTTTAGAAAGATGTTTTTTTTAGAAAAATCTAACATATGATTTATACGAGAAATCCAAGTTCAAAAATATTGCAAAATAAGATTACGCTACAGATGCAGTGTTGCACACCTCTACAACAAAGTTAACATATTTTATTTTAAGATAATCTAAATTTATATTACATACATTATATATGGCTTTTTGTTTATATAATACATATTTAGAGAAGAGATGAATTTTTTGAGAAAGAATGAATCTTACGAAACTGTAAAATTCTAAAAGAAATGTTTAAAATTGACTTGTATTTATATATTTTATTGTCTATTTTATTATCAATTTCAAATTATTTATAAATTTTAAATTTTCTTAATAATTATCAAGAAATTAAATACTATCCATAGATTATTATGTTTCAATTTAGTAGAATACTAAATAGAACTATAAATAAGCATATATATAAGATATATATACATAATATATTAAAAATATTAAAAAATAATTTGATTATAATCTGTTTGATAAAAATTGCACGGGGGAAACACACACAAGAACGAAATATGTAAGTCGATTCAATAACGGATTTCGGAAAGTGTCGCTGTCCGATGACATTTTCCTTGATAATATCACGTGTCTGAGTATTGTGGGGGAATATTTCTTGACTAGGCTCGAAATTCTTTAATTGCCAATATGTGTATAGCCATCGAAAAAGAAAGAAAAGAAAGACAAAGAAAAAGAAAAGAAAGAGAGATGAATGTTTCGGCAGGTAGGTAATCCAAGCAATCTCAACAATGATTATAATAAAGCAGAGGCATGAATTAGCTAGTAGAGGATCACGAAGACATCAAAAAGCTTGTTCCTTCATTATTCAAGTGCTAATGTTATCATTGTTCGCCTTGAAAATCTGATATCGCGCGACCAAGTTTCGCTTTGATTATATACGCGAATGTTTTAATTCGCTAAATCGTATTTGTAAATCAATTTATAGGATGAACTGCGGACTGCATTCATTGAATACTTCAGATTTAGTGCAAACTTAAGAACGTATCATGGCTTGGAATTAGAAAGACAAAACCTCTATATTCCTATGTCATTAAATCGATATAGAACTGATATTTTAATTACAGTAATTCCTATATGAATAATTTGATAGAATGACTAATATCCTTCTAATTTATGAAGGATATGTGTGCTTAGTTTTAATATATCTACTTCCAAGCTCTTTTATTATCATTTGTTTCTCTATTTCCGAGTACTTATGTTTGAGATTCGTTTTATTGATATGTGGTCGATAGTTCTGTGACGTCGCGAGATTCACGACGCATCGTTGCTGAAGAAGTCTATGAAAAAGCAAACACTTCGGGTGATGAGTGCTTTACTTAGATATGAGTGTATATGAGAGAGTTTACGTTTTTCGCACTTGTAAGAACCAATTCGTAATTCGTCTTGTCGCAAAATGAATAATAACAACGATGAGTATTATAAAGATGATCGGCACACGGCTTTCTTATTCAAACAATAGAAGCAAATTCGTCGAGGTATTGATCTCTCGTGAACCGCGCAGCAGGAGGTCGACGAAGACGTTCATCGTCGAGGAATACGAGAGACTGGACACGCGAGTCAGCGTTCTAATCAATTATATGTAATCAGCGTCCTCATTCCAGTATCGTCGACCGCACAAAAAGATTCCCCTTTCGAAGAAGGTTTTTTTATTGATGCCCGTTAATGATGGAGAAAAAGACAGTCTTCTTCTCTCAAAAAAAAAGAAGCTCTTGTGACGAACAATGAAACTTTCGAAGACTATTTAATTGACAAAAAAGACGATGTTAATTACTTTTATCATTGTTTCTGTTAGAGAACATTAGAGAAACAATCTCGATGAAAAGATTAGATTTATGAAATAATCGAAAGATCGATAAAAAAAAAAACGAAGCCTGGAACGACTCGGAAGTGCTATACATTATAATCCACGTGTGTCCATGAATTCGTTTCTCTACATGCCCTCGTGTTAACCGAAGGAAAGCTGCTACATTGTGCTCCGTAATGAACCCCGTAATCACTCCGAGCATGTATAAAATAGTCCAGACCAGATCAATATACAGAGAAGTATAAAAAGAAAAGAAAGCATCGGGTGAACTCTCCTACGAAGAGGGGAATCATCGGAACGATGCATAAGCCCGCACGTTGAAACTACATAGCAATGTTATCATACACGTCATAACTCGCGCGATGTTTAAAAAAAAAAACAACGACCGCGATGAGAAATGGGGCCGGTGGTATGTCAAGTCACCGATGACACATGCTGTAGACACAGCTTTCTAGTGCCTGCTACTGCTGCTGCTGCGATTGTGGGATTATTGCGGTTGGTGCTGGGGGTCGGTGCTGTTGCTGCTGCTGCTATCGCGGTTTGTTATTGTTGTCCGGGTGATGATGTACACAGACAGATCTTTTTTTGTTGTTGTTGTATAACTATGTTTAACCAATGGTTGCCTCTGCATGCCCCTACCGCGCCTACTACTTCTAAAAAAAGAAAAAACTGACTAACCCGACACAGCCCGACAGTGCATTGTGTTTGT